AGAAGAACCCATCCAGAGGACCTACTTATTTTTTCTTTTTGATTTTTTTCTACCTGGATTACTGAGATGCATCAGCATATTTTGCTTACAGGCAGACAAAAAACAGACACGGGTTAAAATATTTTTGCCTTATACCTAAAGCAACTCTGGCAGCTGCACCCCTGTAGTTTTTTTAATCACATATTTACTGGATTCAGTCATACCTAAAAACTTTTTTAAATGTACTTGTCTAATAAAGAAAGACACAGTGGTTGACTGTGAAGACAGGAAAGTGATGCAAAGGAAAACCTTTTGCTAGTCTCAACACTTTTATTCTGCTGCTCACTATAAACTCACACATTTACAAGGCTGGCTTCCAGGGAGACAGATACCTTATACAGTAGTCTTTGGATACCCTAGCATGTTGGCAGATGGCTATGGTTCACGGATCGGTCAAACACACCCAAATGCAGGCGCACGCAGAGACAAGCACACACACTTAGTTAGGATTAGTGACTATATTTGCTGTTAACCCCCTCTTTCTTTCCCAATGTGCAGAATGAAAACTCCCCAACTCTCAGACCTTTTTGTAAGTCACCTTTAGATCCAGCTGCAACTCTTGTTTGCTGACAACAGCACAAAATGCACTCAGATTATGTATTCACCGCCCTTTAATCTGGCTGCCTGCCTTTGTGTCACTCTGTAAAATTCCACAGCCCCTCGAGGTTGATCTCTCATCTTCCCCTGTTCGTCCCCGTTCAACCATAAACCACAATCATCAGTGCAAATTATCCAACCTCTTTGTTTTCCCTTTTTTTCCACTGCCTTCTGTCACTGTTTGAGTCAAAACACCAATAAATAGGAAGAGTTACAGCAAACGCCCAGATCTGTTTTTGTGAAAGCAGTTTTACTATAATGCCTGTTAAATAGATTTATGTATAAATTAAAAAAAATGTTTACAGTGACTTCATGGATTGATAGAACTACWATCTGAAACTAAATCTGAAACAACAGTGTGAAGGCTGAATCAGCATTTAGCTTTTATTAGGCCTTTTACTACTTTTAGGATTTAGTTGGCTTGTTTTTTTGTTTTTGTTTGTTTGTTTGTTTGTTTGTTTTGTTTTTGTTGATTTTTAGCTAGATTGGGGGTGGGGGAAGGGGGGAGCTGAAATGTCAAACTGTGGCTCATCAAGCTTTTGATTTTCCTCTTTTCTTTGTTTAACTGTGTGTAATGGTGATATTATCATGTTTGAGAGATGATTATTTTTGAAAAATCTGTATGTTTAGAGTAAGTTCAGTGTTTGGTTGTTGTGTCATCCATCTTTTTCTATCCTTTTTTTTAGGATGGACCTGAGCATACTTGTGCAAAAGGATGGAAGAGGATGAAAAAGTAACCTGAATAAAAGTACCTCTTGGTCAGAATTGATATTTTAAGAACGTCAAAATGACCACAAGCATTCTAATCAAAAATCTAGCTAAAGAAATAACAGCTCATGAACAAAAGAGATTTAGTCAAGAATTTTTAAAATAATTATTTAAGAACTCCTTGATGTTTTATTATGTGTCTCAATAAAAACCCACAAGTTTTCTCTTCTATTACCTTTAGACTTAGCGACAGATGAAAACAACTAATATGATGGCAACACTTGATGCATGCAGGGCATATCTATGTCTTTCTGAAATTTATTAGACCAAATTATAATAATACTTAGAATAAAGTTGAGAATATTGTACATTGGGTTGGTGCTCTGGCTCCTGAGTACTTAGTGATTAATATCTAAGTTGCAGTAACAAGACAAGGTATTAACATACTGTATGAGTAAAAAAAAAACATCTGAGATGTCATTTGATAAATGGCTGATATGACTTTGTTGCACAAGCATTTATAAATGAATACCTAACTTTTACTGTGAATTTTAAATCTACGTATCACTTGTCAAAGAACATTTGACACCAAACAAGTACAACCTCACACAAAAACAAACACACAAGCTTGATCAAAAACCACTATTAGGACACTGGGCATCTCCTAAATACAMAAGAAAAGAACACAGCTAGAGCTTTATTATTTTACTAAAGATTAGAATAAAAAGCAAGTCGTTAGACTTTATTTACTAAAATGATCTGAAGTTTCTAGAAACATTTTTGGCAGCTTATATGTGATTTTATTTATTAAAGAGATACTTCAAATCTTTCAAATAACATATTACATGTTGTAAATAGACTCACTAACCTAAAACTGACAGACTCTTTTAAGATGCCAGTATTTCATTTTGGCCCAGTTCATCAGTCCAGTCAGAGCTGAACACAGCAGGTAAGATATTAATCATCSAAAACTGTTCTACAGTACTCAACGTAGGAAAAAAATTCATTTTAGTTTACAAAATGGTTCACAATATTAAAATGTACAGTTATCATTGAAGAGCAGGTATCCTAAAATAAACAGTACAAATCCTGCATGTTTGACACTCAGGTTTATAAGGGTGTGGGCTTGTTAAGTAAAAACTTGTTTTCCTTCACCAGATGCTGTATTCAGAGMAWRTGTGTGTGTGTGTTTGTGTCTGTTTATTCCTCTGTGTGTATTTCATTGCATTCATTAGTTTGTGAAGCAGCTGCTCTCGATGACCATGTCACTGAACAAACACATACTCACATGGCATCAATACAAACACAAGACTACTTTTTTTATATTCCTCTTCCTCTGGCGACGTCTCCATCACATCCCCATCTTTTTTCTTTATCATATTCTGTGCCATACACATGTCCCAAACACACACACGCACACACACACACACACACACACACACACACACACAGACTGACCGCAGACTTTTTATTTAGACTAACTTGCGTTCATTTAGGAAAATTACAGCAGAAGTGTCATTTCTTCATGATTTTTAAACACAAAAACTCGTGAAACATAAAATATTCTTCTATTCCTAAATCTGCCTTCACACTTAAAACACACACCAATTAATATTGTTTATTCCTGCTGACTAAATATTTGTTCAGCTCTATTTGCCACCTTTTTGATAGCCCTCTCGGCCTGAAAACTCTGTCGTTTAATTAATAAACAACCCTCATTCTCAATAATTACACCTATTGCAAGTTTAATTTTCTGTTTATCTGCTTTAAATTAATTTCATTTGTTCAGTTTGTAGGCATTTTCAGCAGTAGAGTGTGTGAGGATGTGTGTGTGTGTGTGTTTCACCTGAGAACGCCTGTGTGATGGGCTTCAGTATCTGACATCTGAAAGCCTGCCAGGACCCCATCAGCTGGCGGAGGAAACCCCGTATCTGCGTGAGCTCACTGCCAGAGAAGCTGAGCAAGGAGAGAGCAGCTCCAAGGGCCCGCTGCTGCCGTGCACACACACCTCTGTGACACACAGAACAACAGCTTCAAAACACTCTGAAAACTAAAACACAATTTCCCATCTTCTTCTTTTAATAGATTGATAGTATTGTATGACACATTTGGCAGAAATATAGAAACWTCTCATGGGATTCGGCAATAGATCAGGGGTCTGCAACCTGTGGCCCTGGGGCCACATGTGGCTCTTTGGTCCCTCTGCAGTGGCTCTTTGAAAGCATGACCAAACATAACATAATATTGTTTTGTTTTGTTTTTTAATACTCACAACAGAAGTCGATTTGCATGCAAATATGTGATTAATACTACTAATACAAAAAGTAAAACATGTTAGCTCATGCTAGCCTGTTGTTTAATTAAATAATCCATTTTCTTTCTATGATCTTTCTCTCAAATCCATCAGAATTACCTTTAAAGACTTTGAAGACTAGATAATAAGAATTAGGAAAAAACATGTCAGAATAGTTCATTTGTACTGGTTTTTATGAAATTCGGTATAAACAGTATTTTTTCTTGTTTACATGGTGGTATAAAAACTGAGGTATAAAAAATAATAACAAATAATACAATTCACAATATTTTTTTTATTTTATAATGTCACCTCCACTGGCCGTAAAGGTTCCCAAAAAGGCCTCAAAAAGGCCCATGGACCATTAGTTGGTAATCACAATTGTAGCTTGTTTTGTAGCTCTGGACACATTTTTATTCATGAGACAAGCAGTAGAAATGCCTCTTTTGATCGTAGAGGTTGCAGACCCCTGGCTTAGATGAACTGCTCTACTGTTTGATTGTGATCAGCAAAGAACAAACTGTTTGAAATGCAACATTTCCTGGCTAAGTTAATATTTTAAGAATATGACTTTTTCTGTGAGAAACCTCAAAGAAAATACCTTAACTTTCAATAAATTCCATGACATAAATGAGCTATATGCCTACAAACTGCAGTATGTGAAGGTAAGCAGACAGTCTTCCAATAAGCAGAGTACTGGTTTCTGTGTTTGTGTTCCATTTTTTTTCTTTCCCTCTGCTTTGACCAAACACAAGGGCTTTAAACTGCAATCTCTTCTGGCAGCCRTCACCTGCGTCTAAGCTCCTATTATGCTCGACACAATGCTTATTTTAAAAGCAAACTTTAACACAGCGTCACATTTTTTTAAACTTGTTTTCGAAGTGAGCTTGACTTGCGTGCTTCTTCCAAAAAAATGCTGCKGCTGAAATAAACACAAACTGCAACACAGAGACAGAAGGAGAAAACATGTCAAAGTCTCATGTTGAAAACAGTGAAGGACCAGTCAAAAAACAGCCTCCCAGTGGTTTATCTCCCCTACTGACTGCAGAATACTAACTGTTTTTTTAGGCAGAACATTAAATTCTAATTTACAATGCTAGCCTGGCAAGTTCCAAGGACATGTAAAAGGGATAAGGGCAAGTTGAAATGCAAAAWWTACACAATTTCAATTATTAACAGCRATAAGAATATTACATCAAACACATTAGCTAAAAAGTTAAATCAGAAAATCAGTTCACAYATCATCATTAGTTAGTAAAACATTAACAAGTAGCATTAAAGAAAGCTTTTTAACGACTTTAAAAAAAGAAACATGATTGTTGGATGTATTTTTAACCAAGTTCCAATCATTTGAAGCTGCATAAGGACTCTACCTTTCTATCTATCCATCCATCCATCCATCCATCCATCTATCCGTCCGTCCGTCCGTCCGTCCGTCCGTCCATCCATCCATCCATCCATCCATCCATTTACCATCATATCACAAAACAAATGCAAAATGTGTAAAATAAACATTATTTTGTGAAATAGAAAGTTGAAGACTCTTGATTTAGTGCTGCTTGGTTGTTGTTGTTGTTTTTTTYCCCTTTTTATGGTTCGTAGCTCAAAGTGATTATAACCAAACGAACTCTGAGACAAGAATGGACAGGTTGAGCAGGCAGTCTTTGAGCTGGTTTTCAGGGCCTTAAAATTGTGTATGCGTGCGTGAAGAGTGGATGGGGGAGCACGGGCATCGCTTCTTGTCAGGAGAGTCAGTTTTARAACGTCAGATGACATTAATCATAAGGCTTGACGGCACCAAACAGAGGAACAGATATGAGCCAGATATGTCATCTGTGATAAGGGTAGGAGTGAGAAATGAAGACACACGGAGGCCGCATGTGTTTGACTCCTGATGGTTTACACATTTAGGAATTTTTCAATGTCAGCAGGCTGATTAAAGAGCACTTCCCCCTCTGACATCTCATTTCTTCTCTCCCACTTTTTTAACCTCTGCCTCTCTCCTCTTCTCCCCTCCTTTCATTAACTGTTCTCTTTTTCAAGCTGTCTGCCAGAAAATCCAGAAATTAACCCAGAGGTCAGATGAATTAACTGTCTCTCTTCTGTTTTCCCACTCTCTCATTTATTGCCTTCCCTCTATCATATTGCACAGTTGTTTCCCATCTAAYCTCACCTGTCTGTCCTGTATCGAGTCTGAAAACAAGAAGTCTGGGTGATAATACAGATATATGGTATATTAAAAACATAATTTTGCTTCTAATGTATCATTTAATCCTGGCAACACAAAAGACATTGGAAATGTTAGGTTTGTGTCTGAAGTTTTATTTCTGTAAACTCTTCTTTGGATCCTATTCCTGCTGTAGAGCTTATTACATTTCTCTACAGCGACACCTGCTGTTAGGGAGGGGGACTGCATAATGTCTATCAACAGGAACTTCGTTCTCTCGACAACACAGCTTACTGGATGCATGTGCAACCTTTTCTATTTATAGCTTATTTTCAKCAACAAGATGCTTGGAAATTACACCAACCAGAACTATCAAAGCATTTTGCTGTTTTTTATATATATATTTTTACTCTCACATGTGATCAGAGGCTGAAGGGTTGAAGGAAACAAGGTAAAACATGAAAAAATAAACAATTGGACACCCAATTAAAAAGGAGCAGAACCAGAGATGGCTGGACAGAGAGCCCGTGGTCCACAAAGATGGATGAAATATAAAATATATTTATTTTTGATTTATACATATAAACATAGATACTTGATTATAGAATTGTACTACAGTATGTGCCTGGAAAATACATAAACCCCCGTCCCCCACCCCCCCAAAAAATTAAAAATTAAAAATTAAAATCACTTTAGTCTGCTGTGCAGTATGACAAACTGATACTTGTTCATTACTTAAAGCTAAGTAAGAAAGGTTAAAAATAAAATACAAATCTTTGAAATGCCCTAAACTATRTGCCTTAAAGACATCACAAGCACAGGCAAACATTAACACAGTAAATAGCAGTATACATGTGGGAAAATGCTCTATTATTAGAATATTATAAATGGTCAAAGCCCAATCCTAAAGCAAACATTCAAGCATGAAGATTCCTTGTACCAACATTTGTTTTGTGTTGGTTGACAAGAAAACACCCATTGGAAGCCAATTTTAGTTTGTTCACAAAATCCCTGACAGCTCATCGTTCTCCCAGGCTTATGACACCTGATTTCACTTGACTTCCCTCTCTTTGCYGTCATTGTCTTACCTGACAGATTCAACATGCTGCTTTTTCCACCCAAGCTCCTTCTCAGCCTGCTCCTTTGTGGCAGCTGCTATCACCAACCTGTCATGGGAAAAAAAAAGGAAATAAAGGTAAAAGAATGCACGTGAGTCAGGAGTCAGGAATAATCCATTCTCATTAGAAAAGCTCAGCTGAATGTAATGCCACATGAGTGATCACTGGGGGAAATGAGCAACGAGTCTATAATTGCAGGGATATTAAAAGGGGAGGATGATAAGGATGGATTAAAATTAGGTGGAAGATTTATAAATGTTTCTAAAAAAATAAAAAAAATGTTCATTATTACTCATTGCATTTGTTTCAAGTCCAGATTATTTAAAGGGGACATGTCATGCAAAATCCGATTTTTTAGGCTTTAAATACAWTTTGTTGTGCACTTGGAGTCTCTAGGAGTGCAGAAAATTTGAATTTAGTCTCTCCCAGTGCTGCATAGATAACTTTATATTCTGTTTGGGGTTATATTTTTCAACTTGTTCAGTTTTCTTTACTTTAAATTTGATTGTCTTCATTGTTTTCTGACTCTGGGTCAGACTCTGGCTCCAACATGTAAGGCTGGACGGACAAGTCATCCCTCGTTGACGTCTTTTAATTCATTTGTAAATGAAACCTTTCTGCGCCGCTACAAAGTCGTAAACCCCTCTTTCAAACAGGATTGGTCTGGAAGCTGGAGCGTGGCGGGGTGTGAAGCGCATTGTTTGGATTTAAAGAGACAGCCTCAAAACGTGTTTATCTGAAACACACACCAGAAAAGGGGCGAAAGAGGGGCTTGTGGAGCTGTAATAAGTAGGAATTCAGATCAAAGCATTACAGCTCCACTTTAGACCCCAACTAAATGATGTTAATGTGAAAAAGAAGGATTTAAAAGCATGACATATCTTCTTTGACTAAATGATAGCAAAGTCACAAAACGTGAGAGGAAATATTTCATTTGAGATGCAAAACAGAAAAAAAGCTGAGTGGAAAAAAAAACAAACATTGTATGCTATATTATCTATTATCACATTTTGTAAGTGAAGTAGCAGGCAAGTGTGCCAAAGCATCCGGTCTACTGCACTAAGCTAATCCTGCTGCCAATGTTAATGCTTTTATTATCTAGTTTTATGGCCAGCTATAATCTCCAGACACAAAGAAGTTAAAGGTTATTCTTTTGCTGATCCCCCCCAAAAAATAAAACACATTTGTATCGAAGCAGCCCTTTCATATGCACTTTCCCAGACAGGAGCTATCAAATCTGGTGGATTTCTGTGCAGCAGTTCAACAAGACACAGCGAGACTGTGTGACCTGGACTCTTAGAAACCTGCAACAGAACATTCTGTTCCTTCGTTGAAACGCCACAAATAAACACCGACAGCAAGGCAGAGCAAAGAGTAAACGTAATAGGCAGCGCAGACAAAAAGAGACGAACACCAGACAGAAAATATCCATAAAGTTCAATTAGGAAGTGTAATTTGACTGACGTGTAATCATCTCGGTGAGGGGAATTTCTTCTTATTCAGAGCCCTCTATAAACAAATGTCAGACAATTTACTCAGACTTCTCTGGCAAACAAAACATTAGGCTGCATCAAGATTCCCTTCAGTTACACACAAACACATATTTCTGTTAAAAGATAAATAAATTTAGTGCATCTTAAGTGTTCCCTCTGGGCTACAAATTCAGACTGAGTGATCAAAATGAAGTTTCAACAATGCAATAGCATCAGCATCGCAAAATATCAAAAGAATATAAGTAAAACAGTCTGAGCCTAAAGTAAAGAGAGCAATTATTTGAAATTGTCACATAAAGTGTCAAGATAGGTGAGCAATGATTATATAATAAAACATATCCAACCACTAAACTGAATCAGCAAGCTTCAGAGGGGAGGAGGTGTGAAGCCAAAGATAAAATCAGATKAGGAGGTATTAGGTTACCTGTGGAACAGCAAGTACAAAGTGAACCAGTTTCAGAAATGATATAATAAGCTGTAGGTTACAAAAGTATTTACTCCCTTGATCATTTCCTTAGTTTTACCATATAATCTGGATTTTATTTGGCTTTTCACTCTGATTACATAATAACAATGCAAGGAATAGTTTAAATTGATGAAATTAAATAAGGAGGAAACACTATTTTAAATAACTCTGAAAAATATTAGAAGTTGTGCATGTTTATATATGTATTCATCCCTCTCTAAAAAATATTAGTAAAGCCACCTTTTGCAACAAATCCAGCAGAAAGTCTTTTCAGGTATGTCTCTACAAGCTTCATGACCAAACTGTTTTAACTCCTTGAAGCTGGATGATTGCTGCTTTTGTACAATCTTTAAGACAAAGCACAGATTCTGAGTATGACGTTTCAACTTGGCTTCAGTGTTGCTTCAGCTCTGTGTTTAGGCTCTCTGCCCTGCTAAGATTTGAACCTTCGTTCCAGTCTAAAACATCTGGAAGACTCAAACTGGATTTAACTTATTCTCCAGAATTTCTTTTTTTTTTCTCGCTACATTCATCATTCTTTAATTCTGAGCAAATTCCCAGTGGCTGCTGAGAAACAAGTCCCCACAGCATGATGCTGCCACCACCATGCATTGTTAAAACAATCACAAAGTGGTCCTTGAACAAAAAGATGAATTTTAGACTCATCGGATCATCTTATTTAYCATGTTTGGGAGAAAAATCTCTAAACCCTGGGTTCAAACGCCAGTTCTGATCTTGGATCTTTCTGTGTGGAGTTTGCATGTTCTCCTCGTGCTTGTGTGGGTTTTCTCTGGGTTCTCCAGTTTCCTCCCACAGATCAAAACATGAATGTTAGGCTGCCTTCAGGGCCAGGCCTTCCTTGCAAAAGAGATCTGTGATCTCAATGGGATTTGCCTGCTTAAATAAAGGGTAAAGAGTAAGTAAATAATAGTTGTCGTATAGACAGATACTTTCATCTCGTTTTTTTTTTTTTTTTCAATTCTACATATGTACATCCGAAGACAAATAGAGCAGTCCTCACATGGAAAACAATGAGCTCCTTTCTTTGCAGTTTTTAGTTGAACATCAATTTTAGGCTGTAAACAAACACAGCATATCTGCAGCACAGATGTTTAAAAACAGGCTGAAACAAGACTTTTAATAATGCATGAAGTGCTTAAATTGAAACTATTCAAGTGGCAGAAAATCTATAGGCTGATGTAAAACATTGGTTTCATTGCCTGTTCTGCCAATGACACGCTGAAAGTTACCAGAGACACGTAGATGTGTTAGTAAGTATTTCACTAAGTTCTTCTCTGTTTACTGCCTATAGACAGCAGTGGGTAGAGAATCCAAAAGTTGTAAGAGTAAAACTACTTAAACATGCAGAATTTCTACTGAAGCAAAAATAAAAATTAGCCTTCCAAGAAATCACGTTTGGTAGAGTATTAAAAATTTTACTCAAGTCAAGTAAAAAGTAGCTACAATATAGTATAATTACTCCTAAAAGTCCATTTTCTTCAAAAAAAAAAGGTTACTCAAGCAAATGTAACTGAGTTGTAACCACCACCTCTGACTACATGGTATCATAATCTAAACATGGAAATGATAAAGTCTATTTTGTGATGACAAAAAGCTTTTTGTTGCTATTTATGTTCATGTCATGTCAGGTCATAACTTGAATTAAAGTTCACACTCGGGTGATGTAAGCATGTTTATCATCAACAAGTAGATAAAACTTCTAAATCGGCCTAACGGGTTATTTAGTTTGATTGAGTTTATTTGGTTTTATTTGTCACGGAGCATTTTCCCCCCAGAGTTCAACAACACACATTCAGTCTGAAATCTTTCATTTTGATCTAGTAATTTGCAGTAAAGCTTAAGAAATAATCTACCAAACACAGATTTCTTTACTTTTTATGCTGAGTAAAAACAAATTTGATTCACTCTTTTATGTAACTGAATGCACTGTATGTTTGTTTTTCTTTTCCTCTATTTTATGGAACATAAAAGATGCAATAAAACATCCACCATCCTTGGTGTAAAATATGTTTTTGTGGAAAATCGTGTACAGAAAAGTGAATGCAAGCTTTTGAAAAATCCTCATGTTGGTAGATGGGTGTTTGTGTGAATAAAAGGCCACTGCTAGAGAGGGACTGCATGTTTAAAAGTTAAAAAAAAGGCTGTTGCTTCAATGAAAGAGTGAGAGTCTTTGTTTTTTTGGAGTGATGGCAGACCAGAGTCCCACCGTTCACCCTTCTGTCCCCACCAGTCCCAAAGCAGGATCAGAGAGAACGCTGCCCCGAGAGAGGTGTGCATGCATGAAATCGCACACGTCTCTCCCTCGCGTGTGAGGGGGATTTGCAGCGTGTACGTTTTTAGACGGACCTCGCGTGCATGAATTCAAAGCTCCTGTTCCCCGGGCAGCGGCTGTCAGTAGAATAACTAGGTAGGGCACTGCCAGTGAGTGCATGTCAGATTAGAGTACCCACCACCACCGAGTCAACTGCCTCGTCAAGCCAACGTCATAAACACACACACGCACACACGCACCAACATGGCGAGCCAGACACAGACAGGGCCTCACATCAACGAGACTAATCTAAGACTCGGTGTTATCCTGACCTACCAAGTCACATTTTTCCTATTTCTTCTGCTACAGAAATGTCAGGGAGGGTTTTAAGTTTTATGCTTCAACATATTTTCCAAAGTTTGGGCAGACGTTTGACAGTACACAGCCAAACRAAACAAATCCCAGCAAATTCATTTTCATCCAGTGTGCTGAATGTTCTGTCTCTTCATAAAACATTCACATTATTTCAACACAGCGATGATTATGTGATTATAAATATATCAGAGGCCTCTTTTTTGGTTTAAAGGGAGAGTTCATATTTTGGATTATAAGCAATAATATCTTACTTGCTTTAGACAGCTGTTTAAATGACTTTGTTTTGAATGACAAGAGTTTAAGAATACTGATGACATAAAGCAGTCACATAAAAACAGATTAGGTGGATGGTTTTTCATAAACTTTTACACCACTGTTAAGTTTAAATGACATGTTTATTCTGAAATGTTCTGAAGCTCCTGCCAGAGGTTGCTGCTGCTGTTTGTGCTTGAATATTACAATTTTTTGAGATAAATGAAAAGTTTTTAAAGGGGCAATATAATGTAAAATCAACTTTTTTGAGTTTTATATCATGTTATAATGTTATACTCTCATAAAAAACATGTCCAAAGCCTTGCTCTGACTCACTCATGCATGTTTGAGAAATCCTGCAGCATTTTTAGGCAGCCTGCTGAGGAGCAAAACGAAAGGTGGGGACCAGAAACGCCTTTTGGGACCAAAAACGCCTCCAGGATGTGTCTCCAAGCTGAGATTCCCCATCACGGAGCACACCTCCCCACCCCACACACCACACACCCCGCCCATGACTCCTGCAGGCTCTCGACAGTAACAAAGCAAATGAGTGAAACTGAAAGTGAAACTGGAACTGCTGAGTTTTTGTTCTTTTCGGGTTTGAAATACCTTTGAGGAAATGTATTTTCAGATGCCAAGTAAACTGCATCACGCACGACCCCCCCCCCCCCACCACCGCACTGAAATGGACGGGACAGAAGCGGAAGGTGGTTCTTAAAGAGACAGAGGCCAATTTCAAGGTGTTTAGAAGAGGAAGCGATGAGAAGATGTTTCTTTTCTATTTAAACAAAAAACAGCATCTTAATAACAACTAAAGGTGACATGGATACTTTATTATTATGGTATAGTATTTAAATATATGCCTGAGAAAAACATAATATTGCCGCTTTAAATAAGGTTTGCGTGAATGCATGAATTTTTGAGATCTGAGTTGTTAAAGTCAGCAGAAATTCACTTTGATTATGACCCCACTCAGACACTGATCTGGTCAAAAGTAAACTCTATTTTTCTAAAATAAGGTTGCTTTAAAAGGTACTTTCAACAGGTAAGATATTAAATGTTCAAAGCTTTTCTGCAGAATTCCACCTGAATTTATTTTCCCCTGAGAAATCAATGAAAACCTTTTTAAATGTTTTTGTGTCTTGTTATTTTTGAAAAGACGTACATTCACAACAGTGCCATTCCCTGTTCAACGGATTGAAGCTTTGATGTTTAAACTGGGCTGTATTTATTGTTGCTGCAGGCCATTTACAAATGGTTAGTGTGAACATACAAGTGTTGATTCAGAATTTCATGAGTCTGGTTGTAATTTCATGTGCGTATAGTATTTCTGCATTTACTAAAACTGGCATTTAGGCTTCCTCATATCAAACTATTACTTGTTCACTCTCTGGGTGTGTGCGCACTTTAAAAGCTCATTTTCTTCAACATCTTGACCAAAACGGAGCAAAAAATAAAAAACAGTTGCACTCAAGAGAAGACAGACAGTTATTGTGAATCTTTCTGAAACTATAATTGCTGCCTAAATGTTCCAATAAAAACAGCACTGTGGTTAGATCTTTCAATTCCTTATAACTTATCTGTAATCCTTTCCTTAAAACGTGTTTAGTGTGTGTGCATGTGTGTGCGTGTCTGCGTGTGTGGTGACTGCATTTGTGTATCGTGTACACCTGATCCCTGTTTGTGTATATTTTGTTTTCAGGTTATCTAGTAACCATGTAAGCGATCCCACAACAGTTATCAAACTTATCAAAATATCACACATGCACAGGTATGCACACACACACACACACACACACACACGCACACACACACACACACACACACACACACACACACAGTACAAAGTTCAAAGTGTGTCAGATCATTTTACAACTGAGTTAAACTAAAAGGGTCAGAAAATGAATTTGTCCTCCAGCTTGTCATTCATCATTAAAACCTCGAACGACGAGATGTTTGTGTTTCATTTGTGTGTGCAGGTTGCTAAGCAACCACTTTGTTAAATCACTGTTGATTTCCAAATAAGAGTTGTCATATTGTGTGTGTGTGTGTGTTTGTGTGTGTGTGAATTTTCAAAAAAGAGTGTTTGATCTGGCTTTTCTCTCTCTCTCACACACACACACAAACTGAGAGCAACGTTGTTGTTTTTGTTTGTCTCGTTGTCATGATGACCACTATAAATCTGTGCTATTAGAGCTGATCAGAGGTCCTCCACTACAAAGACAGCTCTTCTTCTGTGCAACTAAAATATACAGTGCAATGCAAAACACAGTGTGTGTGTGTGTGTGTGTGTGTGTGTGATGTGGTAACGTGAACTTTAAGTTGGGCTGTGCTCACAAACAGATTGTGACGGCCCTCGACACATTACCTAACATATACACAACCAGGGAGGGAGTGAAGAGAGACGGGATTGCTGTATTGTTTGTGTGGTTGCTATTAGAAACCAGAAGGTCAAATAAAACTACACTAGAAGTACACAGTTTGAATGCAAGTACTTMCTTATTATCAATGGATGCCTTTCCGTTTGCCATCCATCAGTTGCCTGTGCTCAACTCCTGTTCTGTGAGTAGGAATGTGCGATATGGCAAAAAAATCATATCACGATATACATTATGATGGGTGGCGGTAACGATATATATCACAATATAAAAGTTATAATAGAACATAAATAAATCACACATTAGAGTGCAATAAATATGTATAGGTCAAAAAATTTAGATCTTAAAATCTCCTTTTTAAGGGACACTTTAAAGTAGTGCTGTACCAAATGATTATTTTCTAATCGATTAATCTAACGATTATTTTTTCGATTAATCGATTATTCTAACAACAAATCTATAAGTTATTCTGATGTGAGTGCACTGGATATTTAAAATATTTTCATCAAATTAACAAAAACAGTTCTTTAATATTGTAATATTTTCTGTAGCAGTTTTTTCATGGACACAAAATATGACCTCTAGAGTCAATTC